TTCTCTTCACTGTTTTCTCATCCCCGCAGCGTTGTTCCAACCCTCTTCTGGACCCCGACACGATAGTGAATCACAGAACAAACTCCCATTTCGCATCCCACCAAAGGAAAGAAGGGCCCCCCGGTTCATCGTACGTAGTGCAAACATTCCACTAGCCCCTTCGATCGTAGGCAGGGGGATGATGTTTCATGTTACACCATTGCAGATGCGAGGCGTGTATGAAAGACAACCATTGCGACATCATCCTGTCGCTGGTGCGCATTTGACCGATGATGATCAGACCATCCACGACTGCAATTTCGGGATTAAGAGAACAAACGCCGATCTCCATGGGGAAGCGCTGGGAGACACAATGGTTTTGTAGCAACAAAGTATAAAAGCATGTTATCGATAAGATGGCCAGCGATAAGATAAGGAGGGTTGCGGCCGTTGCGAACCGCGGGTTTCGGAGGTGGCCGACGATGCTCATCAGACCATTCCGTCGCTCTGTTCCTACTTTCGGGATTTAAATGGGGATCCAAAGGATTTAAAAGCTGGCGACAATTGTCCGGTGACAGTCTCTTTGTCTTGTTCCAAAACACCACTGCTCATTACATTCCTTACGGTGCCCTCTTGTACTTCTCCAACTCTCTGCTATATACCCTCTAGTTCCATACATCAAAATGTCCGCAGTAACAGCAGCCCGCTATGGCAAGGACAATGTCCGCGTCTACAAGGTCCACAAGGACGAGAAGACCGGTATCCAGACGGTGTACGAGATGACCGTCTGTGTCCTTCTGGAGGGAGATATTGAGACCTCGTAAGACTGCTCCGGTCCCATACCGATCCCTTGAAAGTTTGGCTAACCACCGAGGATTACAGCTACACCAAGGCCGACAACAGCGTCATTGTCGCAACCGACTCCATCAAGAACACCATCTACATCACCGCCAAGCAGAACCCCGTTAACCCTCCCGAGCTGTTCGGCTCCATCCTGGGCACACACTTCATTGAGAAGTACAAGCACATCCATGCCGCTCACGTCAACATCATCTGCCACCGCTGGTCTCGGATGGACATTGACGGCAAGCCGCACCCTCACTCATTCGTCCGCGACAGCGAGGAGAAGCGCAATGTGCAGGTGGACGTGGTTGAGGGCAAGGGCATCGAGATCAAGTCGTCTCTGTCCGGCTTGACCGTGCTGAAGAGCACCAACTCGCAGTTCTGGGGCTTCCTGCGTGACGAATACACCACGCTCAAGGAGACCTGGGACCGCATTCTGAGCACCGATGTGGATGCCACTTGGCAGTGGAAGAACTTCAGTGGACTCAATGAGGTCCGCTCGCACGAGTCCAAGTTCAATGCTACCTGGGCCACTGCTCGCGAAATCACCATCAAGACCTTTGCCCAGGATAACAGTGCCAGCGTGCAGAATACCATGTACAAGATGGCAGAGCAGATCCTGGCGCACCAGCAGCTGGTCGAGACTGTTGAGTACTCGTTGCCTAACAAGCACTATTTCGAATTGGTAGGTTTTGTGCATCCCCATTGTACTTTGACGTTGTCGCTAACTATGTAATCTTTAGACCTGAGCTGGCACAAGGGCCTCCAGAACACCGGCAAGAACGCCGAGGTCTTCGCTCCGCAGTCGGACCCCAACGGTCTGATCAAGTGTACCGTCGGACGGTCCTCTCTCAAGTCTAAATTGTAAACTACATGATTCTCACGTTCCGAAGCAAACTGTATATAGTCTGGGATAGGGTGTAGCATTTATTCACTTTTTTATTTTACCTCCACTTTGGCTCGTATAGTACAAATGCACCGTGTATGTGTAGATGCAAGTAGCAATCTTCCGGGAGCGGGAACGAAAAGCCCAAACAATTATATCAGAACAGATCAAAAGAACTCCCACCCATGCGCTAGCAGATAAACAGGAAGAGACATAAAATTACAGACGAAGAAATACAATAGACCGTGGAAAAATGACCCAAGGGAAAAAAACTATGCCTGGGTCTTGGCCTCCTTAAACGCTTCCTTCACCTCCGGCAAGTTGGCAATCACCGACTCATTCCCGAACTTGACAATGTTCTCCTCGTACGGATGAGCCAGGCCCTCGAATGCTATATCGTGTCCGGCGTTAGCAATCAATCTTCCAATCATCGAAGCACCCAATCACCCAATCGCCGGTGACCAACACCCCATTCCCCGTAAAGCAGTTGATCATGTAAAGGAAGAAAACATAGACATACTCTTCAGTCTAGCCAGACGCTTCTCCCGCAGCCGGTTCTTGGGCAGCATGCCCTTAACAGCACGTCGTAGGACCTCACCGCCACCCCATTTCTCGAACATCTTGTCCATCGTCATGCTCCGCAGGCTACCGGGGCGAGTCGTGTGCGTGTAGTACTTCTTCTGGAAGCGCTTCTTGCCGGTGGTCTTCAAGTCGTGACAGCCCACAGCGACGACATAGTCACCGCAGTCGGTGGAGGGGTCATAGATAGGCTTGTGCTTGCCCATCAGGAAGAGGGCGATGGAGGAAGCAAGCCGGCCGAGACTGCGCGGGTCGGTGCCGACGTCGACATGGTGCCAGGCCCGAGAGTAGGCGAGACGGGTCTATATCAAGACAAGGTATTAGCATTGAGTAAGTTCCGGTCCGATGTGAGGGTTCAATGCATGTGTTGCAATGTCGATATGTCATCGCAGATAGGTACGGTAGAAACATAAGACATTGATAATGGGGTGTCCAAAGATCATTGATAGGAATTGAATTACCTTTCCAACAGTCTGCGACATGGTGACGGTCCTTTCTATCAATCAAGACAAACACAAGAGCTATCAAAGGAAACCGAATTAACCCGTCCCCGCAGATATCAAGCCAACAATCGCGCAGAGCAAGTCTCTATCCCGACCTCCGATGGAGACCCAAACTTCAGCCGCCTCGGCGGAGCATCACGTGACACGTGACCAGCGGCAAGCCCTAGCGGAGTCGCACTAAGCGAAGTCACCCGCACGGATTCTGAACCCCATCACCGCAATTCGAATAACAGGAAGACGACGACAACTTCACCACACTCCCCTTCCCGACACCGATCAGGGCCATTCGATCACCATGGCTTCCGTCCCGAGTGTGCAATGCTTCGGCAAGAAGAAGACGGGTAAGAATTTGTGCCTGATGGGATTTTTTTTCCTATATTGAAAAGGGTGTTTTTGCGGGAAGAAATAAAATGCTGACTTGAATTTTTATAGCTACCGCTGTCGCCCACTGCAAGGTATGCAACTGATTTTTTCTCTTTCTGTCTATCTTGTCGCACTGTGTGTATGGTCGCTTGGGGAGAGATTATCGCTCGAGTGGAATGGAAGAATGGAGAAAAGAAACAACATTACGTTACGATATATTCAAGAGGAGGGGAAATATTCATCGGAAAGAGAGGAAAAGAGCATGAAGTGATTGAATGATGTTTTGAACCTGCGACATATGCGCTCTGCTATTTCGATTTTGCAAAGAAACGGTTATGGAAAAGGAACACATGCTGAGAATCATTACAGCAAGGCAAGGGTCTCATCAAGGTCAACGGCCAGCCCCTCTCTCTGGTCCAGCCTGAGATCCTCCGCTTCAAGGTACGCCAAACCAAGGAAAGATGAACAAGCCAACGGAACAACCCCCACCTGATACAAGAAATCTAGGTCTACGAGCCTCTCCTCATCGTCGGTGCCGACAAGTTCGCCGGTGTTGACATCCGTGTCCGCGTCTCCGGTGGTGGTCACACTTCCCAGGTCTACGCCATCCGTCAGGCTATCGCCAAGTCCCTCGTCGCCTACTACCAGAAGTACGTCGATGAGCACTCCAAGAACCAGCTGAAGCAGGCTCTTGTCCAGTACGACCGCACACTCCTCGTTGCCGACAACCGTCGCACGGAGCCCAAGAAGTTCGGTGGTCGCGGTGCCCGCGCCAGGTACCAGAAGTCCTACCGTTAAACGGCCTCGAATCAAAAAAAGACCCATTTTACGGACGACCGACGGGAATACAAAAAAGGACGCGGAATGGTATCTATCAGGTGTACTGGGGAGGAGATTTGGAGCGTGCTCCCAGGGCAATCGGTTATGGTTCGGATCTGGTTGTCGCTGGGGTGGAATTGTTATGGTGCGATACTACTGGCTCTGTCGATGCTGGATTTAGTATAGGCCAGGTATCTCAAATATCACCCAATATTTTTTTTCCTGTTCAGAGAAAAGAGCCATCCGGATGTTATCCTATGTTATGTCGTTGGGTTTAATTTTTTGTGGTTGTTTTAACGGTTTCTGGACAGCTGGAATACATTTGATGTCACGTGACCAGGACTTTTGCCAGAAAATGCAAGATTACGACTTCAACTGAGATGATCAGATATTGTCTTGGTTAGTAGGTAGTAGCAGTATGTGGCTCAGCTTACCACCACTGCTACTACTAACGCGCTGGGTAAACTGGTGTAGAACAAATGCCCAGGCCTCATCTGCCAGAAACGGTTAAATTAGGCAAGCCAGAGAGGAATCAATCCCGAGACCTCGGAAGACTCCGTCTTATTTATGACCAGTAGTTTCTAAAGACTAAATAGACTGCCTCCACTTCTCCCCAACCAACAACAACAACTAACATGGCCAAATACTCTCATTATTAATAACAAGTATTCAGTCCTCCACACGTACTTAGTCTACATTGAGATAGAGCACAAGGCTCTCGGGCCAAATGGAAGAAGACACATCATGTCCTGCGAATGCAACATCTCCGCACTCCCTGCAGAATGACACAAACCACCCGACAGCAACATCACCGGCCTCGCCCTTATCGGATATATCTGGCCCGGGTTTGACGGCTACCGTGCACGCTCTTATCCGCCTCATCCAATGCTCTTGTTGCTCGCGGCCTCTACGCGCGCCACTGCGACTTCCGTGTGGGAACACGTTATGTCGGTCTTGTCTGCCGCCAATTCATGAGCGGACAGGGATTACATATCCGGCGAGCGACGAACGGAAAAAGGGATTCACATGCCGTTGGGGTACGGGTGATGGTTGTGCTGGGCAACACTGCTTAGGTGACTGTGGGGCCGACGTGCTGTTGGGTAGGCTGGTGGATGTTTTTGATGCGGTACTTTGCGATTCCAGTGCTAGCCCGGAAACGTTTTCGGGGAATGAATGTGGCTTCAAAATGACATGGACAGGACTGAAGGATGATCAGCCCGGAACGGTTGTGAAAAGTGCAGATGCTGCGGGAGGATTACTAGAGGGTATGTACGGCCTAGTCAAGTGCGGTCGTTTCGATTATGATGCGTCGGATCTCAAGTTTGAGATACACCAGCCTATGACCCAGGATAATCAACGTTTCGAAAGACTTAAGGACGCTGTTCGGAATGAGCTGGACTGCCAGGTCTGCTATTCGCTTATATTGGATCCATTGACAACATCCTGTGGCCATACCTTCTGTCGCGGATGTGTTGTAATGGCACTGGACCATTCCGATCTATGCCCTGCCTGTCGCCGTAAACTGAATATGGCGTCGACGGTGAAGTCTGAACCTACTAACAAAAGAATCTCCGACATCATGGAGACCTTGTTCCCTGAAGAGGTCGCTTTACGAAGAGACACAAGTGCTCAGGAAGCGACTGCGCCCGATGACGAAGCAATCCTTCCTTTGTTTGTCAGCTCACTTTCCCTCCCGACGATGCCAACTTTTCTGCATGTCTTCGAGGCACGTTATCGGCTCATGATCCAAAGAGTCATGCAAACCAGGGAGCGCAGATTCGGGATGGTTATGTATAACCGTGCCGGTCGTTTCCAGCAAGGACTTGGAAGGTCGCAATTCATGCAGTATGGTACAGCCTTGGTTGTAGATCGTTATGAGCTGCTCCCTGACGGGAGAAGCCTAGTAGTTGCTACCGGGCTGTACCGTTTCAAGGTGCTCAGTTCATATGTGCTGGACATGTACTATGTCGGCAGGATACAGCGCCTGGATGATATTTCGGTAATAGAAGAGGAAAATCGCGAGGCCCTGGAGACATCAGTCGCGGATGCTTCGTCACTTTCGACCGCGGATGCTTCAGGTGAGCAGCCACTAGAGTCTATGTCAACACAGCAGCTGTTCCAGTTGGGCTTGGACTTCGTAAGGAAGCAACACAGCCAAGCCGCTCCTTGGCTCCATCCTCGGGTGCTTTTAGCGTACGGTGATATTCCAACGGAACCTTCACATTTTCCCTGGTGGTTTGCCAGCGTATTACCTGTCTGGGAAGAAGAAAAGTATAAGCTTTTATCGACGACCAGTGTCAGGGAAAGACTGAAGATTACTGCACGTTGGGTAAGAAAGCTGGATTCTCGTGAATGGTATGTACCACTGATCATTCAACTCGGAAAACCTTTGGTAATGATGTGTTACTCACCATGCACTATCTGACCAGGACGGCTCGATCCCGGCCCTCCATTACCTCTGTCTTATGACTAGCCGTCCCTCTCCTCGTCTTTGCTCTAGTCCCGGTCATACTGGGTCCGGTCGCATCATTCTTACCGTTCTCATCTCCAAGGGTTTTGACATATTTCACACCGTTCTCCATGTCATTCTCTGTTACCTTTGGCTCTGCCGGCTTGTCAATTGATAATTCGCGACAGCTGGCAGAGAATCAGGATTCCGAAACGTATATTCCGCAGACCCTTGTAATAGGAATCTTTCTTGCTATGTTCGTAGCACAGGTGGCTGCCAACGGAGTCCAAGTCCTGCGGTCGAGGCGACAAGGAATAATAGAAGACCGACGGGATTTTCAAGTCGAGCAAGAACCCCCAAGGATGCCACCAGAGCCACCAGGCGAGGGCGAGGACGAGGACGAGGGACGAACTCCAGAAGCTACCAGAGATGCTGGGTGACACTCTAAAGCATTTTTTGAAACATGCATGCAACTGCGGTGGCTCTACCCACCATCTTGGACTAGCGACACTTCCTTATTGCCAATCAGGGATCAAACTAAAGCAGCTTGGCAAACTTGGTGTGCTGTGCTGAGATGATTGCTGCCTGGCCTGCGCCTTTACTGGCCGTGGATTCACTTGAACCCCTTGCCACAAGGCTGCATTGAGGGATTGGCAGCTGTGCATCAGGGCTGTCGTTAACATAAGTGCCTTCCCCAGGATTATATACTGTCTTTTAATCCCAGTGGAGATAGAGATGGTTTCTGATCCGGCTGCTGGATGCACCATATATCCGCACCCCATAGGGAGCTTGCCTTGTACATCCAAACATAATTACGTGGAACCCGCAGTGATAGATGCAATGTACAGTCATCAACTGCGGGACTGACATTCGGATAGTATTTGAAGTGGTTCATGTACAATCAGATATATCGGCCGACTGGAGGATTTGAACACCTGTTCATGTAATCCAGACGTTGGCTGTAGTAGGCGCCGACGATCAATATAGCGTACATTCATTTCCTGTCCAGCTGAGAAGAGACGCAGACAGAATTTCGAGATCAGCATTAAGAAATGCGAGAATTTTTTTTCTTTTCCTTCTTCCTTTTGGAAGAAAATTTAAATAAAATAAAAATAAATAAATAAAAAGAACAAGACGGCGTGAACCATTGGTTCAGATCAGCGGTAAACAGATTCATCTTCAAGCATTGGAACAAGACACCAAGCGCCTTGCGTCGTTGAGAGCGTATCGCCAATCAAGCAAAACAGGACGATCCTGGCGCTGCACGCATTGACACAGAGACATTGGGCTCGAATTTCTGACTTGTCCAACGCCACCCAGGTGGCTATGCATCCATCACCCCAGCGTTGTTGAGAGGATTCAAGTTGAGGATATACTAGTCTAACCAGTAATATTTCTGGCGTCTGGGCTCGCTGTCTTTGCTTCTTCCTTGGGTTTTGCCTCGTTGGGCCAACATGACCAAGATTTAATAATAGGAGGGGGCCATGCATGTTGTCTTCTGGCCGTCTTGCATATCATCTGCATCCAGTCTGCGGTGTTGGTCGCTCATAGGATGAAAGTGATCGAGCTCGGTTCCCCAGTGGAGAAGACCATAAGCACTCTCTGGTAGTTACCAGGTACTTGATCAGGAAAGGGGGTTGTTAAGAGGTTAAGCTAGTTTGTTGATTGCACCTGCAGAAGTAACGTGGGGTGACGTTGTGATATGTCGTGAGGAAAGCACGAGACTTTCAGGTCTTCTTGCTACATGCTTTCTTCTGTCTCTCTTCCCAATTCTCACTCACTCACTCACTGTTCCTGTCACTTTTCTTTTATTTTAAGTTTGACCGGTTCAATCAGTTCTTATTATTTAGTCTCTCGCAGGTACGTATTCTCACTACTTATTCTCCATCCACCTGGTACTAAAACATAGGCAGAGGACCGGGCACCATGTCTTCTTCATTCATTACTGTTGAAAAACGTCACTTTGAATCTCTGCTACAGAGGTGAGTATTGGGGCCTTTTCCTTGTTTTCTTAAGGCTTTGCCTTTGTGGTTCTGCGTATACTAGCAGGCTTACCTTCTTCCTCTGTTGTTACTTTCTGAGAGGGTTGAACTGGTGAACTTTGATACAGTGATTGCATGCAGCTACTAATAACTTGACAGAGTAGAAGCTGTGAGTCCAATCACCTATACTCTGGATTGTAGTGATCATCTACTTATTCCTGGGACTGCAAACCTGGAACAGCATTCGTCTCAGGAAAACAAAAGCCCTGCAAACTCAGATTTAGTAACCATTTCAAACACAGAATACCAAGATCTGGTAAGTAGTGTCGAGAAGGCTACCACATCCCTGGACAGTAACTGCAGAGTTTTGGCAAGCTGACACTGAATCAGCTTGCAGTATCGACTCAGTTCAGTACGTTTCCTACCAATATCTGCATAGTACTATTCCTATGCTGCATTACGCTCATTACTGACTGAATGTCCGCAGAAAGGTTAAAGGAGTCGCTTTTGAATGGCGGGCTGTCTCAGGAAACTCTCGATGTTAGGATCTCTTCTCTTCAGCGACACCATTTTGCTGACCGGATTACCTAGATATTGATATACGGTTCGCCACCGCTGTCCGATTCTCGAGATAGCAGTAAGACATGCACTAGCGACTCCTTAGAACGCAAAAAGCCTCCATCACCTAGAAGACCAAATCTATCCAACGACCACAGGCGTTGGGAAAGCTACGACGACGACGATGATGATGAAGAGGGTGTCCTGATAGCCTCCCAAGATAGTGATAGGGATGATTACGATGACTCCTCTAGAAACTCAGGGTCATCCATAGCTTCAACCCCTCAACGAACCATTCTGCTCCGTGGCCTCCCTGATCGTGTTACTCATAGAGATCTTGTTGATGCCTTAAAGGGTGGCGCTCTTCTCCATATTCACCTTCGAGCGCGGGAGCGCATGGCCAGCATTTCGTTCGTCCAGGAGGCAAACGCACAGGAGTTTATGCAGCATGCAAAAAGCCACGGGGTCTACATTGCTGGAAAGCGTGTACGTTGCCCAACACCAAGGTATTACGACTAATATGTTTAACATTGATGATAGGTGGAGATATCTTGGAATGACCGCCAGTTTTACCTCCCCCCTTTCGTCAGGGCTAAGATCAACAACGGAGCTTCACGTAATCTTGTCCTATACAACGTACACCCCAACGTCACGGAATGGCTTATTCGGAAGGACCTCGACCACATCCATAACCTCATCGTCATCACAGTCAAACTCAAGAATGGAAACGCTTACATTTCCACAAATTCCGTGCATAACGCGCTGTTTGCACGCTCGTGTATGATGTCTCGGCTCACTTATAAGGGAATGAGGATTGCATTTTACCCGGATGAGTGCGCTGAGCCTCTAGTCAAGCTTACCAATGGCTTGAAGAAAGAGTCACAGGTGCCTTCAAAAAAGTCTGTTTCGGTTCTCAATCGGTTCCAGCTCCTGTCTCTTGACGGGGCCGAGGAAGATGAAACCGGTCATGATCACGGCCAAGCTGGATTGGACAGTTACCATAAGAACACTGCACTGAAGGTGCAGCATTAATAAAACAACATGGGGAAGGGATACTTGATGGAGATTTAACTACGTCAGTTGGTCCAGCACATTAGGAAGTATTACTAAACAGTTGGTATAGGTCGGACTTTAGTGGTAGCAAGATGCTAGAAATTCAGCTCCAAGATTTGGAATGAGATGCCCCATCACAACACGTACTGTCGTCATACACTATGCAAGCCTGAGCTCCCTAGAATGAGTCTTCCAAAGGTATTCGGTGTGCGGGTGAGTGAGCAAGCTACACTAGTTAAGTATAGTGGACAGCATTACATGGGAGGGGAACGGAACAAAAATACGGAAAAGACAAGTAGTTTTCCACGTAGATTGATAGTCATGTTGTATGTACAATACAATGAGACTAAGATAGCCTTCCATTTTTAGAGTCCAAAAGGCCACAATCAAAGGCCCTCTTCATGTATTTCGTCTCCTTTGGCTGAGTTGCTCCTTCTTCGTATTCTTTTCCCTCCGCTGAACAACCTAATGAAGGCTACTGAAAGCAAGAGAAGCAGGAAGAGAGCACGCCATGGAAAGGAAAAGAAAGAAAGATATCACATGCTAGCATCCTTTCGTTGCTCGTAAGCCCAAAACCCATCCAACGCCGTACCAAAACATAGCACTAAAAATAGCTGTAATAAGCTGTTGAAGATCCAAATTCAGGGGTATGCATGCATGTATGTATATGGATTTGTTGTTTCTATGATACTATTGGGTATAACATAACTCTGAAATGAGAGAGAGAGAGAGATAGAGAGATGAAGGGGCCGAGGAAGAGTTACCAATCGCCATATGACACTGGGCCGAGGACGAAGCGTCGGAGGTGAACGCTTTTGGGCGTGAGGTGGAATACTGGGTCTGATACTCTTGGTCCGTGATGTGGGAGTGTCTGACGGCGCAAGCGTCTTGCTCCAGGTTTCCTCTCAGTGGTACCGTCCACTGAAGGATGGTTTCCGAGGGCATTGTGGGGTAGATGGATGAGATATATGGTGTTATTTCGGGTTTATATTGTAGGTTGAAGTCGGGTGGCTCGAAAAGTTAATGTGTTCATTTAGCTTAGCTCGACTCCTGGGAGGAGGCTGCTTCTGAGTCGGTATCTGCGTCGTCTTCCATTACTATTCGTCGCATGACGCTTTTATCGAACAAGTCCAGGGCGAAGCGTCGGGCAGGGAGGCGGAAGTGGTGGCTTTCGAGGATGCTAAGGGTTTTGCGGAATAGGTGTGGTTGATGGAATCGTTCGGGTTGTTTTGACTTTATGCTATAGTTTGAAAGCGGTGATTAGTAGGATTGTTCTGTATTAGATGGCATGGCTTGGAAACGACGGGTTACGTACCTATGAAGATCCGCCGCTGCTCGCTTGGATAAGACGGTGTTACCCATGTCGACAATGAGCTTTAAAATCTTTTGATTAGTGGGATCTGGATCGGTGGTAGCTTCCTTGAACTTGTCTTGGGATATGCGTTTGGATTCTCGGTTTCTAGAATGTGAAGGGAAGTCCACCTTGAAAAGAAAGGAGCTGTCAGTGTCTGTTTGTGGTATTTTTGACTTGTCACCTGTGTAGAACATACCAGGAACAATTTATTGAAATCGGTAGGGAGGCAGAGTCCAAGAGAATTCCCCTTCTGATCGAAAGCAGAATCCCAGCCAAAATCTCTCAGTACCTTGAGCCCATGTCGACTACGGGAGATCAAACCAATGACAAAGAATGCGGTTCCCCTCATCGTTAGAACCTCAGCACTTTCAGCGATCTTAACTATGCGCTCAACGATGTCTGGCTCGAGGAACGGGGCGCCTAATTCCATGGAACCAACGTTCCCAACAGCCCAGAGACAGCCCTTGACTTTGAGCAGAACCTCGGTGTCTTCCTCGTCCAGACTGAAATCGCGGATGGTCCAGGCGAATTCGCTAAAATGACCCGATTGTTCAAGAAGCTTGCAGCCCTCCGCGGTTCGGGCCAGCTCTCGATAAAAATGCGGTGGGACCAGCCCGATATCCTGCAGATCGACAAGATCTTCCGGAACAAAACTGCCTCTGCGCGGCTGATCGACGTAGGCCCGTGATAAAGCAGCTTCCACTAGACCCACATACGCATCGTTCCGGCCCAGAAACCAATCGTCCATCTCTTGCGTGATGTAGTCGAGTCCATCGAGATAGTGATAACCTACTGAGGTGGATAAAAAGCGCAAGAGCAAGGGTGCGCCGATCTCACCAAGATGGTCCAAGGATGGCCTGCACTTGACCACAAACTCGAGATAGTCTCGATGGTTGCATGCTTCTTCGAGAATCTTTACGGCCATCTGGCATACAGACACGTCAGGATCGTATAGTTGGGTGACAAGAAGCTTGACAACCCAGTCGGCATTGCCTATGGCCATCTGTGGAGAGAGTGGAACATTGCCCACTGCGTATTTCCGGAGCAGCTTGGTCGCAAATATACGAATGTCTTTCGAGCCTGTCGTGAGAGCCTTAGATAGTATAACTCTCAGGTGGCTGTCTTGTGTGTAATCCATATTGCCTAGAAGAGTCTGTATGAGATCGTCTCGATCGCGTAGCTCAATAATATGGTAAAACATGTTGAGCATGTGCCACCGCTCCATCATAGCAAGCCCGTTGGTATCGCCAGTTAATGTGCCTAGTAGGGCAAAATACCCGCCGCTCAATGTGTTAGCCATCTGTTCTCGTGAGAAGAGAGGCGATGAGGATGTCAGCCCGCTCATGCGGTCTACTTGAGCAAGGCATTCCGCAACCTGCCTAAGGAATTTGTTCTCAGCCAAATACTTTGTTCCCTCGGGAATCGAGACTAGGGTGCGCATCAGCGCACAACCTGTTCGAACATAGCGTTGGTTTGGCTTGGTATTCGGAAGCATGGAGAACCTATACTTGAAAGGCCGATAAAATCCCATGAGTCGCTTCATGAACTTGGATCCTTTGATCGCCTCGTCCAGTCTCTTGGGGTTCGTCAGGGGCCCCTCGACGATGCGGTGGATAAGATCCCATTTCCACTTTAGGTAATTCACTGTGTTCAAGACATGCGTTTCCAGAATCGCATTGCGAAATTGGGTTTCATCCATTGTAGGGCTCAATCTGTCTTTGCTTTGGTCACTAGACAGAAGAGAGGCGGAGATGTCAACATCCACACTATATCGCCCTGCCCCATTCGAGAAACCAACCGAACGGGCCAAAGTTCTATTTATGCTCTCAATCTGATATATTGTGGCCATAGAAACATCATGGTTGTCCACATCAAACTTGATTGCGGCGGGCAATAAGTGCGGAAGAACCTGGAGTTTGGAACTAATTTCTTGTGGCAAAGAGTGTTGGGCTAGCTTTAAAACTTCGGTCAAGAGCAATGTTGCTTTACGTCTAAGAGACAAATCCTCTTCATCCTCGATGAGCTCCGAGAGCGCCTATGCCCGTTAGCAAAGCCGACCACGATACAGCTAATATGAACAAAGACAGGAGGGTAAGTACCTTGGATAATCCTGCATCCACTAAGGTCGCAAGGATGAGGGTAGAGAAGTGTGCTGTTAGGTCAAATTTACTCTCATTGTCGTCGTAATACCCGCGGTATTGCTTGGTGTCTGTCTCTGACCGAAGATTTGAGACTCTGCCATAAGTCGTGAGCCGTCGACCCGCCAGGAAAGATGAAGACCATGATGGTGGTTTAATCCTTAGGGCATCAAACAAGAGCTCCATGATCAGATCTCTGGCCTGCGAATCAGGGTAGTGCAAAGATTCCAAGAGCGACTGCAGAGGTTTTCCACCATTCCTTGCAAGGACTACTAAGCCCGGCCACGTCTTGAGCATTGCTGATATAGCTTTAGCTGATGACTTTAACCGGCCATTGCGAACGCTATCTGCTAGTGAATCGGTAAAGGGTGCAAGAACAGCTTCGAGCTCGGTCCCTCCTCGCAGGTGTTTCCTACTCTGTGGGGTGTCAAGTACATGCAGAAAGCTCGCTATCAGAGACTCGGAGGCGCCGAATGTCCCTTCTGCTAGGGCATCATGCAATGTCGCAAAGCCACCAGCATAAGCAATGAGTTCTGGTTCTTTAACCAGAATTTCGGCGAGGGTCATAATCGATATGTTTCTGAGGCGATCGTCGTAATGCTCAGCAACAGAAACAATAGTCCGCACCACAGCACGCGAGATTTCACGCACACCATCCTTGACATCCAGAAAAGCCCTGACAAATTTCAAGGCCTGTTCACGCTCAATACTTGCTTTGCTCTCTTTGACGAGCGACAAGATTACCAACTCGTCTGTGTGCAATGCACGAATGATGTGGAGGGATTTCCGATCCGCAATGGCATAGCGAGTCAACCTGTATCCAGCCGCCACGACTTCCTTGTTGTCACTTAGGAGCATGACCTGAACGCGCAAGCCGAAGACAGACCACGCTAGGTCATATTTCAAGGTGGGGTGTCGTTTGAAGAGCTCAACAAGGCTATTTGCACGCTCAACGTAGTAGTCTGGTGACATGCCCTCAATCTCCAGTGCTTGTAATGTCTCTGCAAGTACATATGTCGGTGACTCCATTTCCGCCTCTCCATCCTCCGGCTGACCCTCGTCCAACTCCACATTGCTGCGAGAGGGTGATCGCAAGGAGCTACCCTGGAACAGAGATGATAGGCGACTCCGCGGAGGAGTGGACGGCGCCTGCGCACGTAGTAGTTCCTCCTCCAGTTCATGATGGAGTTCGGCGAGCTTTCGATTCGACGAGCTCAACTCGGATTCCACCTTTAACCTCTGCTCCTTTGTTTGTTTCGGGTTCTTGGCCAGTAATGCCTCGAGCATATTCTCCGTCCCAGTTTTAATTTTCATCTCCTTCGCAATCTTATTTCGAATCGCAGCCTGGCGCTCCTCGGTACTTGACAGGTCGTCGGGTTCGACGTTACTGCTCCCTCTGCGCCTAAACGTAGCATCGGGCCGCGGCGTTGTGCTCCGTGAGGTTTTCATGCTTTTTAGCTCAGAACTGAAGCTACCTGGGCCCCCAGACCCAGACGAGGGGGCCAACGACGGCGCTGCCCGAAAGCCGATGGTCGCACTACCTCCAGATTCCGATCGAGCATTTCTCCCCGACCTCGAAGCGACCCCCGGCCAACTTCCATCCACGGAGCCATCATCAAGACTGGAGTATGATCGCCCATCTCCCACAGCACGATGCTGGGTCGACGTCGTCGAGAACGTTGAGTTATATCCGGACGCCATAGGTCTCCATCTAGCCGCAACGGAATGCGTATCACCTGTCGCGAATGAGAAGAGGGGCTGAGGGCCGCATTGAGTCCGCCGTGGAAAATCCGAGTGCTACCGCGAGGACGAACGATATCTTCGTGAATATAGATCGAGCGCGCTTTGTGTCGGTCGGGCTAGACAGCGGGTCCGATTGGAAGGGAGGGGAGAAGAGTACGCGGTGGTCGCGGAGAGCTGCTTTAGTCGGAGGCCAGAGGAGGGGTTAGTCAGGGCGTGTCGAAGTATGAGAAGGTGGTCACATGCACCACGGCACAGCAGATGACAGTTTCAATTCCAGAAGCAAGTTTACAGCCTCGATGGGAGATCTGAGCCCATCCCACCAGCGTTGGTTTCAGGTGGTCGTTGTCCGCTGACTAACCAGGCCCTACAAATGGCCTCAGGCTGCTATACATCGTGCCATATTATTTACATCCCTTTCTTACTACATGAATTAGAAGTTGCATCGAACAGTGCCTCGTTCACTTGGCAAAATATCAAGACGAATAGACGAAGTACCAGAGGGTCCCGAATCTACCAGGAGATAAACATGCTTATTAGGAATACCAAGGCCACTATAGAAACAGGGCCAGTCATCTTGCGTGATATCATGACAACTGCCACTTCTTCTCCAAGATACTGCTAGATTCAACAGATCCCGACTGCGCACGGTCAAGATTGTCACTGCCTTGGTCCAGACCGCTCTTGTTTTGAAGGGACTTGGTCTGCAACTGAGCGATAACAGCTTGCGAGCTCGTCTTCTCCCTACGCCACATGACCACAAAGACATATAACATGCATACTCCTCCGCAGACCATACCGTATATGATCGGTGGAACCGGTGGGATATCCTCGGTATGCTGATACGCGTAGTAAAACCCTAGTCCACCATTAAGGATGCCAATGGCTGATAATAGGCGCCCGAGCCAGCGGTGTAAGACACCGTAGGTGGTGGTTCCTCCTGATCTTCGAAAATGCAGATGTTGCACAATCCCTATGACAGGCTGGATAAGAACGACCACGCCGACCAAAACATAACCTATAGTAGGATGATAGCCTTTAGACAGTTTGAGATCCATAGATACGGAGACTCCAAAGCCAAGTCCAATCAGCGCTACACAGGCTGCAATTATTTGCATGGGAACATGCATCCACAGAACAGTGTGGCGAGTTGGGTATATGTGCAAAAGAAGCCCAAAACCAGGGAACATCAAAACGAAAGCGATCGGCGTCATCACACCATGTGCAACACGTTTGCTGTAAAGCAAAGCATCATCAATGACATGCTCTCTTGAGAAAGGGGTGACATCGTGATGCGGGTATGTCAAGTCGAGAAATGGATTCGACGAATTGCCACCAATGGCTCTGGTCAAATCCAAGGTGAAGCTACCATGAATATCGTGCTTATGAATCTGCACAGCAACATCCGATGACACCAATGGATACCCTTGGCACATAGCCCAACTCCACGAGCTAGAGCTTCCCATTATGTTATCTCCATTGTCTAGATGCATGCAGTTATCACAACGGATATTTGCTGTCATCACACCATCATGGACCCCAGAACCTTCAAGAAGATAAGCCTGGATATTGGGATCATAGAAGACGTCAAGATGACCGAATGCTTTTCGTGGAGAGAGAGTGACGCTGCCATCAGGCGAAGGGTAGATGAGAAAGATGCTCCCACCTGCCATTCGCTCGCCCTGGCCGAGTGCTATCCATTTTGCATGAGATGGTGCGCTCAGTTGAAGATATATGGTACCGTTGATATCAGATGCTGTATTCTCTGGTATGTTAAAGCTGTACGATACCCCACCTCCCTTAGAGGGGAGATAAGTGATGATATGACCCCATGTTGAGGAAACTGGTAGAGATCAGCCAACGCTTATATTGAGTCAACCGGCGACCTACCTAACATCAAGGTAACGGCCAGAAATACAGACAAAGAATAAAGCATTGCCACTGCCAACTCCAAAACTCAATGGGATTTTTCATGTGAAATCGATATACATGGAGGAGATGTGATGAAAGAATGAAGCACAATCTTACGGCCTACACGAGACATATATAGCTCATTCACAGGGCTTTACAAGGACAAAACCAACCACGCGGGGGCACATTACAGGGAATTACTTCATCGATGTTCACTGGCCCCGATAATCTAAGAATGATGTGGAAGCATGACTCGATAGTGATGCCTTAATCCGACTTTAGTGCTCTGGGACTAGCGCTAAGTTGTACACTCTGACTGGGGTATATTCAAGACTAAACGAACCCGTGAGACTTACATCCCTGTTTAAATAAGGCTAGGCGTGAATCGAGGGACTCGCGAGGCTAGGAATAAGTTATTTTCACCTATTAAAAACCAGCTGTGTGCAATTCACACAGGGTTGTTTGCTATAACCATCCCGGCTACATATCAGATGATATTGCGAAAGGGAAAGAAAGGAAAACTGAGCCTCATCGTGTTGCCTTAAGTGCAACCCCAGGAGTTACATTGTAGCTCAACAGTCGGTGGAGACCACTTGACCATCCCAGGCTAAAGGACGACGATGAAAGCGGTCGCGTGTCAGGGCGACAGTAGCCATGCTACACTGCTAGCGAAATCTCAGTACCGCCGAAATAGAGAAGACAACCAAGCAGTCTCGGCCGTGCTCATGGATTATTACTCTATTTCCCAGTGGGGAAAAGAACAGTTATTATCAACCGAACCGTCAAGGAGGTAGGGTATCTTAGAACGTTACCACAGGCCATTACATGACTGGACACCAATCTGTCGGGAACAGTATGAATGGACCACGTAGTCGCTGATTTTCGAACTACTTAAGCAAGTTACATGAACATGCAGGACACGGCTGACTTTTCCTCTAGCATGATGCACGCTTAGACCTCCAAGCCACATCATGTATGTCCGAGATTCCGTATACTAAACGATGACTATGTTGGAGTGGGTAGCCACTGCCGTTACGCTGTTTAATTGGTTCGGAGAAAATATAAATAAGGTAGCGGCCCGGGCCTCTCTCAAGCCCTAGTACGCAGTATACGGCCTGTTCAGGAATTAATAAAGGCAGAGAAGAGTCTTTTCTACAGCTCAGAGATGATTCTCTGTACAGTACAAAAGTATTCCTTCTTTTTTGAGAGACTAAGGCCAAAGGGGATCTGATCCTGGTCCATCTGTCTACTAACCCCTGTTGTACTCTATAGACGCCTTTGGAAGTAATCCATGAAAACCTAGCACGCTGCAAGGACTGGGGTGCGGGTGAAAATGGAACCCTTGGTAGTATAATAATATTATGTGGGAATGCCCAAGGTAGAGACCTGAGCACACTGCAATGCGGCGCTGAGATGTCTCGAGTGGCCATTGAATTCATTTGCGACTATTCCACGCCACCTATTACAGTAGTATCTGTTGCTATATTACTTTTTCTTTTACTTTTTTATTACCTGAAGCTTCTATCAATACAGAGTGACGTCAATATAAGTATATTTTAGATGCTGCCGGTCTTCTACTAGTTTATTAATGGCTGAGTATTCCTTCTCTCCTACTTTGGGAGAAGAGAGGAATGTACTCCGTAGATGACCGGGACTATATGATACTTCATAGAAACATTGTTGTCATTCACAGAGAAACAGTGACTAGGAAGTACGCCGCCCTTGATTCCGGGAAACTCTGTTCATTTCATTAGAAGAAGTATCATAAGTATCTTTGTTTACATGTGAAGGGTTTGATTCAATTTACTGAGTCATGGGAATGTACCTCGGTAGTCTGCCATTTGCTCCGAGCCATTATATGACCACTGTTCTATTAGAACCCTCGTTTAATCTTCGAATGCATCTAGACCTCAACCCCACATATACGAATGCGGCCAGGTACAGGCCCTGCAATCACACGTAATTCTCCTTGGTAATCAAACATGCTGACGTTGAACTGTGGTCTAGCCTTGTGCGAGAATACAAAAAGCAAAACAGGTTTTAACACGTGTGACCAGATTCTCTGATTACTCTGCCTATGTACAGAGGTTTTGCATCTCCACCAGTAAGCACGGCCTCGGGTATGCAAATGCCTTGATAGCCAAATGTGCGTTGCTATACTAGGAAATGTAAATGAACAGAAAGCTTGATACAAATACCTCAGGCTAAGAAGCTTACTGGACGACATCCAATTCGTAATCTGTGACACAATAACTAAGCAATTCCTGGTTTTAGACCTAGGATATGTGCAGTGCTACCCACGAATGCTCCTTGAATTACCATCGCGACCAAGTCACCTACCATATTGAGGTAATACTGATGATTCCATCTTTTCTAGACGTACACTAGCGCCATCTAGTTGTAATAGTCACTGGACTGATAGACTAAGCCAGAATACAACGTCTTCAATATCTGAGAGTGACTTTCGCCTATTACCATAACAGTCAGCTTATGATCCCAACAAATAAGCCCTGGCTAGGGTATAAAGATCGACAGAATATACTACAAAGCCATGAAATATAAAGTAAATCGTACATCAAGCATAGAAATTCTTGCCGATACTACCTACAAAAATCAACAGGAGTATAATTCGCTATACATCCCTCTCTTCCCAGCTTTGACTATGTTGCATTGGCACTAAAAGCAGATCGCCACCGATTCTGTTGTTTCAGGTAGTATACAGTGTCACCCCTCTGTGATACGAATATTGCAATAGCTTCTTACTTCATACCCCACGGGCAGGTCAGCATGAATACGCTCGCATGACTGCGCGTACCACCACCAACTACAAGGCTGCAGCATGCAATCAAAGAAATTCTCACTGCAGTCCTTGTATTCCACGAAAGACGCGCGTGTAATCGGCCGACCACAGTTGTCGCGCAAAGCTCCTCACACCCGACAAAAACCCTACCACCGGCCTCATACGCCGACACTTCAAGAGAGGGGAACCCAGTATTACCCATCTACCTGAGACCATTTACAAGGTTGCCAGGAACTGTCGCTCTTCAAGCACCAATCGCGAGTGCCTCACCAACGGTTTTAACATCCTTCGGCGACAAACCCAACACCAGACACTCAGGTCACGCTTGCAAATTGAGGCAACACGGCTTAGAGGTCAGATGCTCAGTTATGTTACCTTTCCCGTTGCGCCTGATACTTGAAAGAAGCCGTATAATTGCATCCTCCAAGTTGACAATATGGGGTGGGGGGCTAAGGGTGCTTATATTTTTGAGGAATAGGGCCTTGTTGTTACTGGGATTGTCCGGCTTTCCCTCTGGAGGCTGTGGACGCACAAGGACAGATTCTCTTGATAACTATTTGGATTTGATCGTCAAAGCAGGTGAATCGGGATGTTACAGTGAGCTCTAGGTATACACTGCATCTTTATGAGGTGAACTAGGCAACATGATGTGTTGTCTTATCAGTAATTGTAGGACGCTAAGCTCAAGATGATGATAAATATACTCTCCAGTATAGGTTGCGCATCTATTAGGGTTTATGCTACCTGATAAGGGAACCTGCAATGCAAAGACTTGTTGGCAACTTGCCAAATTTTTATTTAAAGGACGGCATCATAGTTAAATAACTGTCACCTGTCGTACCTTGACAAACTCAGCAATATGCGTGAGTAATACTCCCGAAATATGCCATATCGGCCTTCATCCTAAGCCTAGAAAATTGATCTCATCCGTACCTTTCCCACCCTTGGGTTCTTTTGTATCATGGTTATTTTGTCGTTATCTTTCCTCCTCCAGGTTTAGTCGCCCTTCGTCTTCTCAAGGATAGTCTTCATCATTTCATTGCCTAGCGTGACGGCATCGGGGAATCGAGGAGCGAAGTATCCCTGGATCCGCTCAAAGCGATCGCGGTAGGATTCGAAATCTCCAAATGAAACACAGTCCGACCATGCCTGTAGTAATCCACTCATGTCAGCGCGTTGTAATGGAATGCATGTATATTCCAGGATAAAAAAGACCGAGCACTGCCCTGAGGGGCAAATACAAGCAAATGACACCTACCCGAGCAGCGAATGTAAACTCCAAATCGTCAGAGCGGAATGTCTTGTCATCAATGGCAGTATCCAATGCCTCGTCAAGTAGATCAGGATTGCGGAAGAGGTACTCCGTAACTCCCAGCCAAAGACGGAAGAGCTGTATCAGTATAGCAGCGGTCAGCGATTGATCCACGCATCAGTCGAACGATTACGTATTGATACTCACAGGCGTAGAGCAAATCATATGGTCATAAGGGACAATTCCAAGCTTTGACCAGCAGTCCACGATTGCAAGCAAACTAAGGTGACTGTTAGGGGGCGACGCCTCACGAGGTCCCTTTGAGAGCGAGAACCGGTCAAGAACCTCATCTTTCAGCAACAGGTCCTGTCCTTCCGTGCCCGCTTTAAAGACGGATGCGCCTGCAGCCTTGACACGCTGCTTAAGCTCCTCCCGGCGACCCTCAATCATCAGCTTGTACAGGTCCGTCACTGACTCTGCGTACTGTCTGATCTGTTTCTTCGCGCTTGGATTGAGAATAGCCAGGCCAGCATAGACGTGCCATTTGTTGGAGTAGATACGCAAAGTGATATTGATCTTCACGTTTTCGATTCCTCCTACCCAGCGAGATATCTCCCATGGGAACTGTTTATTCGCCTGCCATGCGGTGCCCATGCTCAGGAAAGCAGCATGTGTAACGGCCTGTGTATCTGCAGTGATTCGATCGTGCATCTCGCCAGTGAGATAGACAAACTTGGATTCGAAGCATGAGAGGACATTTTCGACGAATCGGAGACTCTCGTCCGATGCGCGGTGCTGTATCAAGACCTGAACCAATACGTTATCATCGGTATAAGCTGGTAGCAATCTGCATATCATACCAGTGGTTGAGCTTTCGGGTTAACTTTAGGGCCGTGGAGTGAATGGCAGGATACAATCTCTACATCTGAAGGGAGATGCTTATCGAATGCGGCCAGCTCTGGAGCTTTGCAAGATGTCTGGCCACCGACGATCGCACCGACCTTGGTAGCTGTGTCAACAAGTCAGACACTGCTCGAGGATAGGTAGTGGTAGGTTGGCTAGACATACATGGGCCATATTCCGCCACTACCTTGTCGATCACTCCGGCCTCTACACTGTATATAATGAAGTCGCTTAATCTTGAAACCAGGTGTCCATTCGGGTAAATTGTGACACCTTTCTATATACGATGAGTCTAGGAACAGCATGAGCTGTGATCGACAGACGTACTTGAGACGCAAATTCAGATTTCAGGCTCTCAAAACTATCAGGCTTGTCACATGCATTTATCCTTGAAGAAAATATTCTTGTTAGTAACTAAAGACGTATCTATGAACTATAGAAGCGATATAATGCAATAACCTTGACATAACAAGTTAGCCCATGATCAGAAAAGGTTAAACTTGTGACACAGCGGATGAGATAATTTCGAGTCAGACAAAAAGATTTAGGTAGCTGAGATTTTACATCATTGACAGTCCAGCAGTACAACCATATACCAGAATGGTGATACGGCGCACTACCGGACCATACTCGAGCCAAATGCACTCAAGTCATCATTCAAAACAGGAAACGCGAAAGGTGCAGGGGATGAAAAGGAGTTGTCTTACCTATTACGCGAGAACACAGTGCACAGCACTGACAAAGACCCAAAAAATCAAAGCTGGGAGATATTACCTCCACCCTGCCATGCTCAGGCGCTGGGCATACATCTTGCCCATGTCGCCCATGCCGATGATGCCAATCATGGCATCTTCCTTGGTGAAACCCATACTGAACTGGTAACACCAAGATAAACTGTGCACGATGATACGGACGACTCAGACTATCTTCCAGCCAGAGAAATCAATCCAACATCAATTCGCTGCACTGGTCGCTTCCCTTGCGAAACACAGAAGTGCGTGTGAAGAGAAGAAAAAAAATGAGAGCTGTCAGCAAGAAGAGAGAATTTAAGCGGAAAATCACCGCTCTATCGGCCCGACTGTTGGCCGACACAGCCCCACCACTCCTGCTCACTGTCAAGTAAAATGTTATGAATATTTAGTGCCTGAGGCTTCAACTCGCTTGATCCCCGCCGAGATTTAACATTCATCCAATCAGCGTCAACAAAAGGACCGTAGGGCACACACCATCCATTTTCCCTATCCAAGTCAATTGAAGGATCCGTTTTCCTTCCTTCTCTTTTCCATATTCCATACCACCGTCCAGCACAACAACAATGGCCCCCAAGCAGAAGACCACTGCCGCTAAGGAGAACGTCACTCTCGGCCCTCTTGCCGGAGATGGTATGTACAATCCCAGAGCCTATAATATACGCGCAAATCTAATAGGAATGGGTCTGCAGGCAAGCTCGTTTTCGGCGTTGCTCGTATCTTCGCCTCCTTCAACGATACCTTCGTCCACGTCACCGATCTGAGGTTCGTCGCATCACCTTTCCTACGATTTCTCCGTCCATGCGAATCCCCCCCCGTGAAGGATTGATATACTGGAAATTGGAGATGAATTGCAAAAGAGACACCAGACTAACTCTTGGGTTACAGTGGTCGCGAAACCATCTGCCGTGTCACCGGTGGTATGAAGGTCAAGGCTGACCGTGACGAGTCCTCTCCCTACGCTGCCATGTTGGCTGCTCAGGATGTTGCTACCCGTTGCAAGGAGCTCGGTATCAACGCTCTCCACATCAAGATCCGTGCTACCGGTGGTACGTAGCGATATTAGATCCCGCGGAAGGAAGACAACCACCAGATAGCTAACCCTCCCTAGGTAACGGTACCAAGACCCCCGGTCCCGGTGCTCAGTCCGCTCTCCGTGCTCTTGCCCGTTCCGGCATGAGAATCGGCCGTATCGAGGACGTCACCCCCACTCCCTCCGACTCTACTCGTCGCAAGGGTGGTCGCCGCGGTCGTCGTCTCTAGATATGTGCGAGCATATCTTCTCCAACTTGTGCAAGTTTCTTGCCTGGCTGGATGGGAGGCTATCAGCAGAGTACTCTGCCTGCGGATGTGGATGGAATAAACGCGAAGAACGGCCTTTATCGCCTGGTCTTCAATTTACTTCATATCCAAAAACGTTTCTATTCGGTTTTGGGCATCAGTAGTCTCTGAAATAGCAGCTACGTCTCGTCAATATACCTCAACTAGAACCGTTTACCTTTTCTATCCATTTGTAAATCTTGTAGTGATGTTTTATAACATCTTGGAACGATCTAAGACCAATAAACGAAATCGCGACATGTTAGTCGTACCCTCATAGCACAGCGACACGGACATTTAGGCTACATAAAGGTATACAACGCTGGGAGATCCAAATATTCAGATAAGGACAGCCCCGGAAGCTTATCGGTGATCTACGCCGAATTCTTTTCACTCCGCGGTGAATTTTATTTTCTCCAGTGTCTCTGCCAGTTAATTACAATCCTTAATAAATGACCTAACTTACTTCCTAAGTGTGTTACCTAGCGAAGAATTGATTACCGGAAAAGCCTAGGGAGAACCACCCCAGCAGCTTGAGAAGAGCGTAACAGATTTGCGACAGCTCCGTCATCGCATGTCCTACGAACAACTCCAGGAATCAGGACAGCTATATATCGCCGATTCAACTCACTCCACCTTTCATATTCCTGGCAAATTACACCCAGCTCCAGCGACAATTAGGCTATGGCTTCCGTGACCCCCTCCCCCACCATCCTCGTACCCCACCTCCCACCAAAGACACTGGTCGGCATCGACCTCATTACCTTCACATCAACGCCGAATTTCCATGGAATCCGCGATTTACCGACTGGATGGCATTTCCTCTACACAGGAGCAACAGAAAGTTTGTCGTTGAGAAGTGGCGGGTGGTTTTACGTCGGCGATATCAGCGCGGCCGGATCCACGAACGAGGGTGCTCTGATCCCAGCTCCGCGAGGGAATCTAGGACGCGATGTGATTATATGGAAATGGGATACAGACACCGAAACGCTGGCTCCCCTACGTGCCGGTGACGACGCAGATAAGCAGGAGGCAATGCGCCATAAGGCGAACTTGGCTGCCGTTTGGCAAAGTGGAGGATTATTCCGCTACCGCAGTCGCGTACCGCTTTCATCTGAGGGCCGAGTTCAGTCGCGGGATGTCGACGATGACGATTATGAAGAGGAAGGTCGACAAGACTGGGAGGGCCTTACGAACCGGCTGTCTCCCAGGCTTTTGAAGCGTATTATTGGGAACCCTGAGATAGATGTCGACGGTCGGCCTCGATGGATGGTTACATCGGCGAGTACGGCGCAGAAAGATAGCGAGAATATACCCGGTATTCCTGAACCGGGTCAGGACTCTGATAGACTAGCGGATGTCATCGGGGAGCAGGAGAGCGAGTTTTCTTTCCTTCATATTGATCTTAAGAAGACTTGGAGGGAAGGGGCTATTGGACGTGAGAGGACAGAGGCTGCCCAGGACCGTTCGTGGGCGCTAGGAGATCTCATACAACAGGTTTCCAATGTAGACCAGGGAACGAGCAAGATTGATGAGCAGCTTGGGGAAGCACAGGTCCTGGGTGAACTACAATTTACCTTCTTGATGGTCTTGACGTTGATGAACTTCTCGTGTCTTCAGCAGTGGAAGAGGCTGCTGGGTTTGATACTTACGTGTCAAAGAGCCATAAAAGAGAGGGAGCAGTTCATCAGTAACGTGCTACGGTTGCTATTGCTACAGCTTCGGCGATGCGATGATATTGAAGGAGGGTTCTTTGATCTCGACGGGGAAGAAGGTGGGGTGTTCCTACGAAAGCTGCTCATGAAATTTAGAACATCACTCTATGAGGTCATTGAGGATGCTGGGACCTTGGTGAAGGAAGATTTTAAGGAGCTGGAGACTTGGGTGAAGAATGAATACGATTGGGAGCTCAATCATGGGGCTTTTGTACGGCGAGGCATGCTTCAGCTGGAGGATGGAGAACAGGTTGAAATGGACATGCCTGACGATGAAGACGATGAGATGGGAGAGTATGCCCCTGCTGTGGTAGATCTAGGCGAAGGCAACACAATGTAAGACGGGCAATGATATTGAAATGTGTTGATTGAAACTAGGTAGTATCAAATCCGAGACATTGTTATTTTCTCTCACTGGCAAACTGGATTGTGGAAGCAAAGACAAAGACGTAAAAAAGAACGCTCAATTGAAATCTATGATCTATGCAAGGAGCTTTGACCCCGTGACATGCAGGCCATCAGGTTATGTACAATGCAACCAACCCCACCTCAACCTCTCATTACTGTAGTCATCAGGTCCTTCATCAGAACTCTTTATTCTCCCTTATTTTTCACTCTCTCCCTCAATGATGTAAGACCATTCATCATTCTCCTTGCCATCCTTGCCGTACATGATGGCCTCCAACCAAGACTTGATCTGGGCTGCATATCCTGCACGGGCTGCACCAGCTTCCAGCATGTCCATATCGACGTCACCATTCCGGATAAGCCTAACTGGCGTAACAAAGAACTGCCCTATTGTTAGCATGCCATTGCTAAGAATGGTTGATGTAGTGTAACTTACGGCAGTGCCACAAACGAAAGCTTCGATGATGCGGCCCTCCTTCCAAGCCTGTTCGACCTCGCCAATGGTGAAGTCCCTTTCAACAACCTCAACCGGGGCAAGGGAGCCAGTAGGCTTTGACAGCTCTGAGCGTGCCAGTTGGAGAACACTACGGCGAGTAACACCTGGAAGGATCAACTGGTTGTCCAGGGGTGCGGTGACAAGCTCGATCTTTCCTGTTTCCTTGTTCTCCCAAACAATGAAGAAGTTACTAGCACCGGCCTCAGTCACTTGACGGTCCTGACCAAACAGCCAAAGAATCTGATCAAAGCCAGTGGCTTGAGCTTTACCGTGTGCGACCAACGAAGGGCCGTAGTTCGCTCCGAGCTTTGCATAGCCGAAGCCACCTGGCCAGGCACGGATAGTATCGGGTGAAGAGGCAAGAAGCTTCAATCCGGGTTTGGTGCCTTCTTCGGGCTTCTTCAACTTGGACGGGTCAGGCCATGGCACGGCGATGATGAAAAGAAGGGCTTCCTTGGGAGTCTGAACACCCAGATGAGGGCCGCTGCCAATCAATGTGGGACGGAGATAGAGGAAACGACCGGGTTGGTCCTTGGGGAGCCAACCTGTAGGTAATTTGATTAGCAAGGGTAACAGTTACTAGCACGGGGCCACATACGGGGTCCATCGATCTGCATCAACTTAGCGATGAGAACCTTCAGCTCCTCATACCGGAAGCTGGGCAAAGAGGTTCTCTGAGCACTCATGAGCAATCTTTCCCCGTTGCAATCCGGGCGGAACAAACGCAGTTTGCCATCGAATCCTCTGTACACCTTCATCCCCTCAAAGCACTCGGTGGCATAGTGCAGGCAAGACGCTGTGGGAGGAATGCTCAGGTTCTCAAAGGGCTTCACTTCGGGGGTTTCCCAGCCATTGGCCACGGTCCACCGGGCAGTGACCATATGGTCAGTACAGTGCGAATGGCTCAGTTCCTCGGGCGAGCCCGGTTCAGGAACCGGGCGGAGATTTGTCGTCCGAGTGATTTTGACCACAGAGGCATCAAGCTCTGCCACAGAGTGTGCAACGGAACCCATGATGGATGTTTGTACAATTCAAGTGTCTGAACTTATGTTTGAGGAATGAAGATCTGGCGTGGGTACGGAATTATAACCCGTGTGGTGTGAGTCACGAAACACTCGTGCGCTTTTCTTAGGTGCGAGATCGGGGCAGGTCTCTGAAGTCTGCAGGTTGCGGGCGATACGTGATACAAATACTGATTGAAACGAGTATCTACAGGAGAGAAGAAATCAATGTCTCCAATGACTTCTCTTGGCTTCTTTTAAGGTTCAATGTCATAGGGCGCAAGAAAAGATTTTTTCCTTAGGCCCGACTCAATGTTTGGAACGTTGCCATCGATATCCGAGCTACCAGAAGACCTTTTGCCCCTGGGGCTGTCTGACAGGATTCGATTGCCATTGACTACTGGGTCCATACAACGAATTGTCGAATGAGACTGTCCTTTTGACCGCACTTGGTCCCTCCCCGCTATCTTCTGTTCACTTTTCTATGTGCAGAAAACGCTCGTATTACCATATCAATCGCTCCACCGCCTTTGCCCCTCTATCACGAAGCCGATGCTAACCGGAGGGCGGTGAATCACTGGATCGTTATCGGCCTGAATTGTCTCTACCTCTGAATGGGAATGTACAAGGTCGAGAGTATGGCGAATTTCAAGTTGGAAAGTGCAAATTGCTGACACTCAAGAAGGATGCACGGGGAGGCTTCGGGTGGCAAGGGCTGGAGGAAGTTGGAACGCCATCTAACGCCTTGGCATCATACCATACCACGAATGGATCACATTTATGGTTGTGCGCTAAGATAAGAGATATTGCGACAGGGAACCAAGTTGCGCTAAGGTCGCATACAGCTATGTCGCATTGATTTGGCATTGATCCCTCGACCGCACTGACCGCTGAGTACTAACCAACCCATTATAACTGTGATAGAAAGTCGACACCACCCTTTCGTGCCATTTCTCAAAGTTAAGGTTTTCTTGGCAACCGTTTGGGTTAGAAACACAGGCCCATACAGATCATGGACTTTTTTATCTCAATATAGGGCAATGTCAATGACCTGGAATTGAGTGTTGCTGAACAGACTTATAGAAACCTGTGTAGGAAATGGCCATCGCACTAGGAGGAAGAAGATACACCTCCCTTCTGGTTCATCAGTGCCGAAGTAACGAGGAACGACCACCGGTTTACCTCCTTACACTTCTCCGCCAACGCCTCAAGGTCAAACAATACCCTAGTAGGCACCTCTCAGCCCGCTAGGAGATAATGATGTAGCATGACATCCGGATTACGTGGTGACTACACCTCAAACGATATACTATCACCTGCAACGACAGTAAGGCCGAAACCCCGTATCAGTTGGTTCCACACCGGCCAGCTCAGGGACTGCCTTGGTAGCGTATTCTGTCTTCTCAGCGAAAGACATCTTGTTGTCCCAGCCATGCGTGATTCCAACACGCAAGAAAAGTAAGTCTCCTTTTTACATAGTGATATTGCATTCTTTGACAATATCTTGGATCTTGGCTAACTTGACCTCGTGAGAAGAGAAGCTGTTAAATACTATGCCATTCTTATTAGAATAGGATGCATAGTCGATAAGAATACCGCGGCCTGTACTGGTTCGCAATCCGTGTGTTAGCCAATCTATCATGCCGTATCATGTCCAGTCTTACCTGCAATGCCTTTTTGGGCCCAGAAATGGGTGCCAATACGGTTGTTGGACTGGTCCTGGACATATCCCTTTGTAAGGTGACTCGCTGACTGGTCTTGATATCACGAGCGGCGGCATTGGCGACGCGTTCAGGTGTGATCAGAGATAATTTTCCCCGGCGCCCCCCAAATGCCTAAATGGAAGATCGTAGAGGGGAGATGGGGAGGGAGCCATGGTAGAGCTGAACTGACTTATTCGGGTGTTGCAGGAACACCCATGATTAGCAGAGTCCGATTTAGCTCGTGTTCAATGGTATGTTTTCACTGGATTCAATTAAATGGTAATCTATGATTTATAAATTCTAGTTGTTTTTGAGGCTATAGATAGACCATGTTGATCAACCAGTCATTAGGGTCTATGTTAATTGGCTTGGAGCGTCACAGATTTACGGTTCTCACCTTATGTTTGATCCAAGATACATAGACATCAGCGCACTCGACATAAGCTGAGACATCTTAAGGAAAACTATTATACCCTCGACCGTTTAACTCGGGGGGTAGAAGATTCTGTTTCTTGACCTGAGGTGAGCATGGTTGGTTCAAGGCTAGAAAGTGACCAATTCAATCCTATAAATTTTCCCTCTTTCTACTCTATAAGGGATACCTATGATTTACTACATAGTATATATATTAGTAGTAGGTTCACAGATACCTAAAAGACAGTATATGTGTTTATGTTGCATAATGTGTCACGGATAGATAGGAAACTCGCTGAAACATTAGTTTAGTATATTGTATGGCTAATGACTGGTAGGCTCTCCAAGACCTCAAGGAGGGCTCAATTGTAACCTACCTGATATCCATCCATCGAAATATCTCCGGGTGACCACTCTCAGTAACTCCGACACCCGAACGACCGGTACCTGACCGACCAATAACGTCATGCGGAACCATATGACTAACGGTTGATCGATAATCAAATCCGCAAGAAACTCGTTCACATAGCATTTGATTTCTACAAACACAACCTTGCCCTCTGGATTCCTTGGGTTCTGAGAATGTCTCGCTCGATGCTATCGTCTGCTGCCCGCCAGCTATGGCGGCAGCGCTCCTCTCGCGCCGGAGTTCCAGCCTTCCCATCCTCAAAATCCCGTTCGGGCATCTCCGCATCGTTCAGTGATTCTATCCCCCGCCGGTCGATATCCTACGCCATCTGCGAGTCGAAGACATACCAAATCACTTCCCCACGGAGAATCCCCATCACAATCGTGCGTCTCCAACAGCGTTGCGCCTTTTCGTCTACCTCCATCAGACCCGCCACCAAGGTCTTACAGAACCCGAGAACCGGCGAGGATGGCAATCCACTAACGATTGAAATCTCGCCCCGCGCTGCAGAAGTACGTTCAGGTCGCTGTTTATCTGTTATATCTTTTGTTTCTTCTAAGTGTGGCGTGACTCGGCGTTGGGCTGGACGGGAGTAGCTCCTGATTGTGACAAATTGATCCTGGAGTTTTGCGACTGAGCGGAGAGTGTACTAAACGCTTCGGCGCTAAAACTCCCAATCAATCGTCCAATAAGTACATACGACCATAGGGTG